AAAACGTATAAGCCAATGTGCGGTGAAGCTGCGCCGTGCGAATTCGTATGTCGGCGCCGCCGTTATCGAGTGAGGCGCGAGTGGTGTTACGAATTCGCGCGGCACGGCTTCACTGCACATTGGCTTATACGTTTCCTTTTTTAATTCGAAACTACAGCGAAATCTCAAAATGGTATCAGACTTTTTCCTCTTGATCCATTCTACGCCCCCAATGCGGCTCTTATCTTATTTCTAAGACACCCTGTGTATATGTGTATGTATGTGAATATATATAGAGGGGGGGGGGAGAGGAAGAGAAGGAGGAAGGAAGGGAGAGGGGTAGAAGCCCCCTATTATGAGATAGGCACCTAACATGAGATAGCGACGTTTCTGTTAAATTAATAAATGCTACCTATTGATACCACCATGAATTTATTGCTCTTGGATTGAAAAATTTAATGGGAAATTCGTTATTAGATCATGCCGTTATTAGATCATGCCTGTCATTGTAAAAAAAAATTTTAGAATTTGTATGTCTTCAAGTTTCTGAGATGAGCCTTTAAATCCTGTTTATTATTTAATAAATAAATATGTCAATACATTTTTCATAAAATGATAGAGCAAAGTCGTACTAATAGAAAAATACGGAATACGTTGAATTGCTCAATTACAGAAATTAGATTTGGTATTCGTAAAACCGTAAGGCGTGGAAATTGTAATATGAGATATTCGGGTATTTCATGCTTCTATGTCATAATGAAAATTATTGCTACAGTATAAATATTATTGTACAATAATGAAAAGAATAACCGGAATGAACATCGAGTGTCTATTTTTGCAATTCTTGATTCCAACTACCTGAAGACGAATTCTGGGTATAATCTATCGCATGCTCATTTTTCGCGCACACTGGTTATTTGTATTTTAGAAACATTAAATACAGTTTTTTTAATTATAATACTCATATACTTTGCATTTTACTATCGATTTCTCGGAGCATCTCATATTAGGAGCATAATTTTTTGACTTTGCGATTTTTTTCACTTTTTACATTTCTTTAATTTAAAAAAAAATGGAATTATAATAGAATTAAATTTTATATAACATTATCTTAAAGTTTGTTAAATTCCCTCCAAAATGACCTATTATTTTTTTAAATTCTGCTTATAGACTTCTAGCATTTACCCAAAATGAATTCGGTATCTCATAATAAGGGGTCTTTCCTCTCTTCTCTCTCTCTTTCTCTCTCTCTCTCTCTCTCTCTCTCATTACAAACGTATGATAACATGTAACTTACGATACTGCTGTAATAGCTATTTGCGTCTCACTATTTAATATGCATGTACGTAGTAATTTCAATCTTTCCTTTCCATTGCCATGTATGCATAAGGTTTCAAGGCATTCTGACATTATTTTCATATCAAGAGATTTTGCTCGGTGCACCATTTTTTGACTGATGTCCATAGATCCTTTAAAATCTTGAGTAAATGGCAATGCTAATATCGATTGCAATATAACTTTATTCGATTCATTATGAGCCATTAAATTCATTAAAATTTGAAAAATAATTTGCTCATTTTGACATCTATCAGAATTTAAATTTTGTATGAGAATCTTTAATATGACATTTAAGTCATTCTCATATAGTTTTACTTGAATTTTCTGGTTCTCTAGCCACAATTGTAATAAAGATGAGGCTTTAACAATATGTAACACTTCTGTAAATTTTTCGGCTTCCATAAGATGCGCTAATTCTTTTTTTAGTAATTTCCATGGTTCGCTGATCTCTGTTGCAAGAATAATTTTATCTGGTTCAACGGTTCGTCGAATATCGATAAAAACAAATTGCATAAAAATCTCAATAACAGTCTAAAATAAAAACAAATTATTAAAAATAGAAATAATGCATAATTTTTAAATAAAAAACAAAATAGTTTTATAAAACATATACAACTGTCAGGATTACAGACTGGACAATGTACGAATTGAGCCAAGAATTTTTTAGCTTCTAAAGTGGTACAGGACCGTGGTTCTACAATTAAATATTGTTTAATCATGTAACATGCTGCTTTTTCTAATTTCTTTATCGCTTCAATTTTAACATTATACGCTGGAAAAAATATAACAATTTATACAATGCGTATAAGACAAATTTGAATAAATTGAAATAAAATAGAATGCAATACTTACTAACAAATTCTAAAGCTATAAAATCAATTACTTGAAAACACAAGTCTGTTGTATTAAGAGAAACATGTGACGATTGTATTAAACGTATCAATGTTTCTGCAAATTGAGACATTATATGTATTGATAACAGATCTGAATTAATCCAAATTGGAAGACTTTTCACTATTTCTAGAGTATACATAATTACGGTTCTTCGTTCCTAAAACATCCAAATACAATATATTAACATACAACACAAACTTTATTTAATTTATTTTACAATTAAAACTTTACATACATTATCATGAACAATATGATTTTCTATTATTTCTGTAAGTAATTGTATTGCTTCAATCTTCAGATTTGGAGAAGAATTGATTACTATTGTCATAATTCTATTCCATAAGTTTACTTCATCCCAAATACCAGCTTTCGCAATTATCTATCAATACAAATATCATTGTTATTGAACCCAATGAATGTTAGAGAATTTTTTTATTAAAAAATCTGTAAGTTGGAAAAGCAAAACCTTTAATAAAGATGATTGAATTGATGGCACATCTGAAGATTTAATCTTTACAGGAAACGGTGTCAAGTCTAAATTTTCTATAATATCCTTTTCTGTATGAAACTTTGAGAGAGTTATTTCTTCTGCAGCACTCATATAAAATTCCAATATTTCTGTTTAAAGAAAATATTTTGTAATTTTATTGTCAGTAAATATATTTCAAGTTTTTATTTAATATTTACTGTTGATTCATTATTATACGTACCATCCAGTATACTTAGGTACTCTGAAGTAATGGTCTGAAACATTGCCATATGATGCCTTGATAATATTCTGAGCATACAAGCTTGTACTTCAATACTATTTGAAAGCACCACATCGCTCGATTGTTTGCAAATCAAATAAAACATTGTGCCAAATAACCAAGTTGTGAATGCTAATGACATATACAATAATATATTATCAAATACAGTTTTGGACAGTACAGTATTATTTTTATACAAATTTGCTACCTGTAAATTGTTGTTGTACCGTAATATTTGCTGTACCATTACTAAATGGTGGGACTAATACAGTGGTTAAAGTGGAAGATCTTTTTAATAAAGATTCGAGAAGAGAACAGAGCATCTGTTCTGTCGGAGGATTTTCCAAATCCGAGAATATCGCTATTATAGGATTGTTGATGAATTTCCATACCGAATCTGATACAGTTATCCTACAACAGGAAATATTTGTTGTCAAAGTACTTATCTATTTCATCTTGCAATAAAAATTTAAAAAAATAATTCATTAATCTTTAAAATTGCTCTTTAACCTTCAAAGTTAGTTTGACATATATATTTAAAATATTTTACTGTTACAATGAATAAAGCTGTGATGAGAGTATTAAATCATTATATAAAATTATTTTTGTTATTACTTAAAACCTTATGTTATGCTTTAAGTATCGATTGTATATTGATTGCATTTATTGCAATTTTCCTCGTAATCGTAATTGTACTTATAATAGAAGCTTACACTTACGTATTACTATCTTGAGGTGTCGATGAATCGTCATTCACTTCCATTATTGCACACAAATTGTAAATAAACAATTACGTGATATATATTCAATCCGGCATTAGATCAAAGGGTTCTCTACATTTGTTCTTATTGAGACAAAGATCCATAAATTTTCCTATAGATCTTTACGTTCGCTGTACATACACTATTTATTCTTCTTGACCAAAAAACATATCTTTATATACAAGTTATTAAATTAATTTGTGTAATTAAACCTTCCGCGTTCATTCAAAACCTCATTTAAGCCGTGTTTACATATAAAATGCAGCTGTGCACAGCAGTGTGTGAATATTGTTTCAAATCCAAGCTTCTTAAAAATCAAGCAAGAATCTGCAAGAATGCCAAGCAACAACTGTCAAGTGCTACCAACTACCAAGTGTTGTATAAGAAAACATCATGGGCTTCACAGAAGAATTTATTAATTTTGGAAATAAATATACTGACAAAAGGTGAAATTTATACACAATCTTTTCGTAAATTTATCTTTTTTATAGATCAAATATTATCAAATAGATCAAATATAGATCAAATATTCATATATAATATTATATTATAAATATTATAATATTATTTTATAGATAAAATATTTGTAAGACTAAAAAGCTCGAAGAAAATGTTGAGATTTTTTTTAAATCTGAAAAGGTGTTATATACCTGAGAAGAAATTCTTCAGAGATTTTTACAATAGCATTTATCAATTTTGTAGATACAATATAAATGAACAAATCGATTGAATATCGATTGAAGATAAAAGTTAGCTTTTAAATAAAATTACTCATAACCATTCATCCTTTTTGTAATATCATGTGTTCTAAAACTCATAAAGAAAGTGTTTTTCCAGCTTTTTAAATGATGAATGTAAATAATCGTTTCGAGCAATTCGAGCACGCTAAAGGTTGTCAAAGGTGCAGGAAAGAGCAGATTAGAGCCACTCTGGGCGATTCACAAGTTTCGCAACTTTTGTAAGGCGCAGACGCGATCAGCTGTTCCCGACTATTCACGATCAGTCACGACCAGTCACGATTTCTCGTGCGGGCGTGCAACTGTTCGTGATGTTTTTCTCTATTTTTTCCGCGTGGAGATTTACACGCACGCCGATAATGATTCGCGTCGCGCTCCCTGCCCATTGAAATTTCTTTCAAGTATCTCGTTCCTACCTTCGCCTCCTCGGATGGACAACTCGCGATCCCGCTCGGCGCCGGAAGTTTTTCGATAATACACCACGTCAGGTTTTCGCGGTGACGGTAGTGGTGGTGGCGGTGGTGGTGGTAGTGATGGTCATCATCGTCGACGTCGCTCGTCGTCGATTGCAATACTGTGTCTTGTGCTTTTAAGAGCGACGACGTGTGACATAAAAAAGCCGCTCCTAATGCGGCGAACAACAACGCCGGCGTCCCGTAAAAGGAGAGAGAGATGAAACCCCGCGTGCTGTTCGTGTACTGGGCGCTGCTCCTAATATCGACGGTGTCCAGGTAAGACATCGACGCCGATCCGTTCGAACGTAATAAATCGATTGAATTCAAGTCGCGACGAACAATCTCGTTCCCAGTCGTATCGGAAACGTGAAAGCGAATTCTTGCTCAAAGCTTTCGTTCTTTTTCGCACCTATTTGTACAGCAAATTAAAATTTTTGCCAACTACTGGAGTATCAGTGGATATCCCGCGAGCCATTTGTCTTGGAATATTTTTGAGCAAAAATTCTGATTAACGCGATGGAACAAAATTATGTATAACTTATGTAGAATGAATATATATATATATTTTTATTTTGACAAAGTTTATAATTAAACTTTATTTATTACATCGTCAGATGCGGTTTTTTAAATGATTATTAAAATAGCAATTTAATTGAATGTTGAATTAAATTTCTGAATATAATTTGTTTCTTGTATATATTTTATATTATTTTTATAAATTAAATTTTATGGACAGAATGAGGCAAAATTTGGTAGGATTGTGTTTAATTGCAAAGAATTGATCTTTTTTTATCATGCTTTTGTAAGAGATAATTGCTTTTGCATTATGCAACACTGGCACAATGTTACTTAATAGACAATAATACTAGCCACTTCTTTCCGTTACAGTGGACTTTTGTTTCTAATAGTAGCTTCGGAGAACGCACAAACCAAAGATTCTTTTTTCCATCCTGAGAAGAATGAGACTTACGGAGCTTATAATAATGTTACGTTCAATTACGAGGACCATGAAAGTTTTGAGTCTTCGTCTATACTGGATGCTGAAACTGCAACAGCGACATTAAAGACTAACCAGAACAATTTATATGACCAGGTAAGTCACTTATAATTGTATAATTTCTCATGTAAGGATATTCATTTACTACATAATATGTACGAAAAGATGTATTTTTCTCATATTGAATGTAATAGCAATAATACATGTCTACTATAATAATGGTATACATATAAGGATACTTAAATTTTGTTCTACATTTTCCATTTACATACATTTATATTTCATGTATTTTTTATTAAATTATATATTGATATATTATAGCAAGAAGCTACAGTCTCTGCTAGTTTTGAGACAATTACCAACGATGATGCAGGGGAGAAAAAGAATATAGATATTTTAGCTGAGAGTCTCACCCAACAGCCTAATCTCTCTCAAGGGTGAGTTTATTACATTTATTTTATTTTTTAGTAAACAAGCGCTTTTGAATAGCAGATGTATAGGGATATAAACTGATCAATACTGTGTGTGTATAAAAATAAAGCTATTATTCTTATCTAGTTAATCAATGTAGACTGTTAATAAATGCAGTAATTTATGTTGCATATCGATTATTTTATTATATGACATGCATGCAAAATACTTTTCTATTCTAAAATATTTGTGCTTGACAATTTATTATTGTGCATAAATACAATGTAATTTAAATATTTTTATAAATAATAAAAATAAAATAAAATATCATTGTGAAAATAAAATATATAGGATATTTCGAAGTTGTAGAAAATTTTTTTTCACGATTATTAATATAAATTACTGTAAAGAGTTTTATTTAATTGAGATTGAAGGATGATTAAAAAATATGTGCATAAAACAATATGAAAAAATCGCCATTTAGTCGAATCAGATTAAATATATTGCTTCTATTGGAATACTTTTTACCAGATTTTATTTAAACGTCTTTATAGAATGACATTTTAATCATAAAATCAGTGTAAACGATTTTATAACGAAAATATTATTGAATATAATAATAAATTTTATTTGCCACTCTGTTATATATTTTATCATCAAAAAATATAATAACAATAATATATTGTATTTGTGCATTGTTTCTATTATCTTTTTTGTGCTTTATATTTTTTTGTTGCATTTTTACAATATGCGATTGCAGTCATTATGTCATTATGCAACGAACATTTGACGAAATTGCTGCTTTCTGAGTTTATTTAATATGCCATGACATTTTCTGTTGATCTTTATAGGATCATCTTTATAGATTGATCTTATATTCTTTTCTTATTTTAATGTAGATTTTTGGATATTAATATAATGTAATATTGCAGAATAATAACAAAATTTTTAATTTTAATTAAAAAAATTTTTAATTGTAATTTTTTTTTAAATTTTAAACAAATTTAGCTTTTTCTACGGAAACATTTTTGTATAACAAAAATTAAACTTCGGAAATTTTTATGTACTATTAAGAATTCCTTTTTTTTGTAGTAGATTTTTGTGAGTCAAATATATCTATTATTTAATATTTATGCTGATGTTAAAGAGGCTAGCAATTGACTTATATCTTTTGATTGTTAACGAATACGTGTATGTATAATATTTCTTTATGCTTTTCGATTTTATTCTCAGTGACTGAATAATATATTTCTTTATATTTTATTCTACATTATTTTATACTACACGTTGAATTACTTTTTTGTGAAACACGAATAAAATATAACTAGTATTTATCTTTAAATCTAAAAAAAATTGTCTTTAATACAAAAAAAAATCTGCTCACCTACGTATATTTTTCTATGCTGTTGTCTGCGCTGAATTCTGTAAAATATGCATGCATATTATAAACGCAATATCATACATATTCCGCGGAAATTTATATACTTGTAAATTATGATGCACGGAAATATAAAATGGGAATATTATAGGCGATATAAGGGAAAAATTTTCTATATTTTCTTACATAAAGGGCAAATAAATTTAATTATATCATTTATTCGTCGTATTTTCGTATTGCAATGAAGCATATTTTTCGAGAATTTATATACCTATTTATATATAATACCTTTTTTGTCCGTGAATATGTTTGTTTTCATGATATGGAGATATGATTACGGTGACAATATTTTCTTAAAGAAAACAAAGGACAAATCTGAAAAATGTAGGGCTTTGTCCCTACATATTTTCAAACCAGTTTGTGATTGTCACAAATCTGTGCATTATAAAATTTTATTGCACAGTATAATCAGATTGAGATAATGCGCAGTTTTCTGATAATTTAAGATTGGTCCAACTGTATTGGAATAAATTTTTGGTCTAAAATAAAAAATAAAAACAATTCTAGTTTAAATAAATTTAATTTAAAAAATTAAGAAATATAATTAATAAAAACAAATTGTATTTATATGCATAAAACCGTAAAATATTTTTCGTGAAAATTTATTCATTAATATAATATTAGACATTGGAACGCTAGTTATAAAAGAATTTCCCGTAATATATGTCAAAATAAAGAACAGCAAAGGATAATATTATATTTGAAAATAATTTACACAAAATTTAACGATTAAATATAACGTCGCTGAAAAAGCGATTCTTTACTCATTAACCCAGACGATGCGTCATTATCTTCATTACCGGTGTATTTTTATCGCGTTAATTGTATTCGTTTGCGTTTAATGATCTTCATATCGAGAGAAGATATATTAATAATGTAGTAATATTGCGAAGAATTCAATAATCGTTACCTTCCAAGATACATATGAAGAGAGATTTAAGTAAAATTTATAGTATTTCAAAATGGTGTTTTCTTTATTGCAATATGTAAAAAAGAAATTTCCTTGTTGTTAGTAGATAAAAGCATTTACACATATAATAACACATCGTAACGTATGCGATGACGTTTATGATATGTTTATTCATTTATGTGACATCCTCATAGACTACATTAATTTTACCATTAATCTTTCGTATACTTTTGCATTGTAGCGTAGAATAAGGTTTACAATAGCAGTTTCCGGTAACGTTTCACGAATACAAAATTATCGAAGGATTATGAATAATGTAAAATACACTTAATTAAAGCGTGCAAAGTGCTGACCCATCTCTTCGTTGTTTTCGCTAAATTTTTAGAATCATGCGTAGCGCATGATTCGATGTGACCAAGAAAAATTAATTGGTAACAATATAACTTTACAAAGAGAATAAAATCTTATGCAAATAATTTTATAATGAAATTTACAAGAAATCATTGTCTTTTGTTCTTTTATTATTATATTTTTAATGTTTTTTTTAATATTTAGCTAATTTGTCATGAAGCTTCCACAGTTTATTTGTTAGATTAATTTGCGAGTTGAATTTTATTGAAAATTTGATCGAGGATTATTATTTATCCGTTTTAACTCACATTATTGAATATTAACATAATAGAATATTGTAACTTTAAACGTTTCTATCGAAGAATTGTTTTGAAAATCTATATAAACAGCGATGTACGTGTATTTTTCTTCGCAAACAATAAAAAATATTTTTGCTTTTCTTCTTCGATAAAAGCAATATGAATTTGTATTGCTCGTTGTTAAATAAATATTATTTACTCTTAAATCAAATAATTTAACAGAAACGAATTTATTTATGTAGCTACTATAAATTGCTAAGTAATATTACATCGGCATATTTGCTATGCAATTTCGATGTTTGTCAGCTTTCATATTTTTTTTATTTGTTGATATAAAAAATATAATTTGTTGCAAAAGATATTGCGTGATATTAATTATATGTTTTAAAATCATTTTTAACAATTGTTTTTTAATTAAGACATCAAATCATTAATAATTCTGTAATTAAAATTATTGAGAAAATGATAAGATTTTTATAAATAAAACTTTCGTTCCGGTAATGCAAAAGTCTCATTATCTTCATAAATGTAGGTACATTAATTTAAAAAAGATTTGGTTACAATTTAATATCTTTAATAGTGTTGTGTGTGAATATATGTGTGAGGTTAAAATTAACATTGGGCATTACAGAGTTTTCTTTCTAGGACATCTCAGAATAAATGCACACTACACGAAAGAAATATTAATAGATACCAATTGATAGATACTAGATCATTCGCAACAAGTACAAGTGACACATTGATATTCATGCTAATCAAATATTTATCTTATAGACTGTATATACTGCGCCACTGAATTGCTCGGGCTTGCCTCGATCGCCAAGTTCTCTTATTGATAACCGATAGAACTTAAACAGAAACAATTAATTGCTATATATATATATGCATGCGTCATATCTTCGATTCATTAATATCCAGGTAGATCCATCTTCATATATGCTCCTTTCGCTCTTTATTTTTGATTTTAATATTGAGCCACTAGGATCAAATCTTGATCACCTGAGTGCCTTTCAAATCGATATTGCTGTGTATTTAGTAAGAGAAATTAGCCACTGGGTATTTAGTGGAATTAGTTTAGAGGAATTAGGCGCGTATTCGAAGCTTATTGTTAAAGCAAGTTAATCCTATCCAATACTGGCATATGCGATGTTGTATACATGTACGTACATTGCGCTCAATAATAGAATAACGATTTTTTCAGATAGGTACCGATATCTCGATATGTTGCTGTATTTCGTTATTTATATTTGCTATTTGTTATTTATATTTGTACATTTATTATATATTCATATTTTGTACATATGTGTGACGATAGGGACAATATAATTATGCAATGATGATTGTATACATTTCTCCGATATATCTCATAAATCAACTAAAATTATTTCTTAATGACGTCAAACAACGACTAATTAATGAGGCATCTGTTATTAATGCGATTGACAAATGACTGGATACAATGGATTAGTGGCAGGTTATATAACAGCTCACACATTCCGTTCGTAGTCTCTTCCCTCTCCCTTTTCCTATTGAATGTTTGACATACATTATTTTAATTAATTCGTAATAATAATTTATAAAAACGTGAAGTAATTCCATGTCCAATTTAATCATTTAATTTAATTTAATATTGAATCAATTATTTCTGTGAAATACTAATAAGAGCTTGATATATCGCACGGTATATTCTCTTTATTGTTGCAATTTTTAATTCTCATATTTAAATAAATGTTTAGAGATTTGTATATAGAGGCAATATCACACATATTTTAGAAAACAAAAGCATTAGTAAAATAACAAATAAATAACAAACAAATTGAAATATAAAGTGATCATATTGTATAAATCGATACGATTTTATTGTATAATATTCACGTGATATTATATCATTAAAAAAAAAAAGATAATTTTTAAAGCATACAGAATCTAAAGCCAAAGGGTATTTATTAGTTTTGAAATAGCTTACATATATCCACCTATCGCATTTAATGAACACACGTATAATGTCTGCAAAATTATCTCTCCATT